TTAAATGAGTTATTAATTTTTTAGTATTGAGTTCTTGTGCTCTTTATATAGAGAATTTCTATCTTTTTAAAGACCCAATAAAATTCCATTATATGCATATACCATATTTTGTTATTTATTCATTTGTCAATGGACAATTGGATTACACCTTTTGGCTATTATGCTTAATGCTACTAGGAACATGGGTGTATAATATCTCTCCAAGGGTCTGCCTTCAGTTCTCTGCATCCATACATACTCAGAAGCAGTACTACTGGATCATATGGTAATTCCATTTTTAATTTTTTGAGGAACTGCTATATTGTTTTGTATAGCAGCTACAATATTTTTTATTCCACCAATAATGTATAAATATTCCAATTTACCCACATCCTTATCCTCATCTCTTATTTTCTATTCTTTTTTAAATAGTAGCCATTGTAATGGTTATAGGGCTAATTTATTATTTTTATTTAGTATGTTGTCAGTTATTACGTTGTCTGTTCTTCCTAGCCTCATTACTGGTCCAGAATATAGGTCCCGTTAACACAGGCATCTTTGTTTTGTGCAGTGTGTATCTTCTGCACTTAGAACAATGCTTGGTATACAGCAAGTGCTTATTATAGATTTCTTGTAAGAATGAGTGAATGGGTAAAAGAAAACCCCATGAAAGTATACCATCCTTTCCTTTCCTGGTTTCTACAGCTTTGATCCTAGGATGTTTATATTTATGTTCCTATGTTACCTTCACACAAGAAATTTAGAATTTTTAGAAAGTAATTATCCCTTTAACAAATATTTTCTGAGAGTCTACTACATGCAGTTATTGTATTCATTACTATCAGGTGGAAATCCTGAAACACATGGAATCTAGTGTTTTTGCAGAGCTCAAGAAATTTATAGGAAAATCAAAGAGAAAATATGAAACACAGAAAACTTAGTAATAGAATGGGGTATATTCAATATCCACTTGATATCCCCACTCAGCTATAACAACGATATCTTAAAATGAACATTTCCCAAAGAGAATCAAGCTTGCCTTACTAACCCTACTTCTGTCCTATGTTCCTTGTTCCTGAATAAACTACTACACCCAGGTATTCAAGCTAGAAACCAGAGATTTATTTTTCCTTCTGCTCCAACTGGTACTCCCTTTTGCCCAACTGTTGATAATAATTACTTCTATGACTTGATTCACATATATTGAGCACTTACTCTATAAAATAAAGTTCTAAGTTCATTGCCTATGTTAACTTATTTATTCCTTGCAAGTAGATGAAATAGGATTTACCATTTTCAGCTATGATATAGATGAGGAAACAGGTTAAGTACGTTGCCCAAGGTCACTCAGATAGAAGAGGGTAGACCTAAGAATCTGTACTCCAGAGCCTATGCCCTAAACTTTTGTGCTATTTGGGAAATACTTTCTGTTTCAAACTGGTTTATTGGAAACCACTCTAAGATATCTGAGTCCACTTTCCAAAATGAGTAAGTGCATACAATTTTGATAATATAGAACCATCCAGGTCCTTCATCTCCATTATGAAACTTGGCTAATGGAGATATCAATAGTCAAGAAGATTGGGTGGGTCTAGATCTTACTGGGAACTTGCTCTTAAAAGTTCTATCAGCAATTGATTTTCCTGCTTTGATGTTTTTTCTTTGAAACAGAGTATGTCAGTAAAAGTTAGTTAATTATAGGGAGGGCAGCAGAATACAACTGACACTAGGATTGCTGTATATATACACATGGATATATAACCAATGTGATCCTGCAATCTGTACATGTGGAAAAATGAGAATTCATACCCTATTTGAATCAAATGTATGATATGTCAAGATCACTGTATTGTCTTGAGCAACTAAAAAAAAAGTTAGTTAATTGAAAACTGTGTTTAATTAAAGCTATAGTGTAGCAAATATAGTCATTGATATCAACAAGGCACATACATTATAAACACCATTAAAAATGGACAGCTTTTTCGCCTTGGAAGTTGTATTGATCTTAGAGGCAAAGGGGGATGGAAGGCACACGTCCCAAGTCCTACTCTTGTGAAATTAAATGAAGCACAAACTTAAAAATAAACCACAATCCTTCTGGCACCAGCAGTGCCATCTGTAAAATGAAAAAAATAATAAAGGCTCACAAATTGGGATTTCTGAATTAAAATTGAAAAAGATGAATGGAACTGCAAGTATTAGGATGATTACAGATACAGCAAGAGTCACTTTTGAGTTTTAACTCATTAAGTGCCATCATCCCAGATGTGGATACATACGAAAAACTTACATTGAGCAACAAATATACAACTTATGGCAATTGTTGAAATAATTATTATGTTCTTAACATTCTGGTTTTTTTTGAGGAAAGTAATGGGTAAATGAATGGAGTGCTTGAAAATATATATAAAGGGCACCTAAACTCTAGATTATGATTTCCAACCTATTTTAATGCACCTGTGTCAATTTCATTGGAATATTTGCAGAATTGAAAACTAGGGACTTTAATGGATTAAGTTTATTAAGTGTTTTATAGACTATATTATATTACTTTGCTATCACATTAACATACAAATATGATACATTTTGCCAGATGTGGTGGTATATGACTGTAATCTTAATTTCCCAGCTACTCAAGTGACTGAGCTTGAAACCAGTATGGGCAATTTATTGAGACCCTGTCTCAAAATTAAAAAGGGTTTGGGATATAACTCAGTGGTACAGTGCTTTCCTAGCATGAGTGAGGCCCTGAGTTCCATCCCCAGTACACCCTCACCACTACAGATATATTTTTAAAGCCCAAAGGGGGCATTTTAAAGCCTCCAACATGACTTTAGCAAACAAAGGATACAGTGCTAGCAAGAAGCTATTTGGGCAAATGCACAGATCATTGGAGCTAGGAAGAGACAAGCACTCTGTGTTACCAGAAAATTCAAGGTCAGCATTTGCAGTTTCATTTCCATCACCACAGCACTCTCTTTGACAAAGAATCGTCATATCTACTGAAAAGTTGCATTCACCAACCAACTTGCTCTTTTAGCCTCACCCGCCACTCGTCTCTCCAGGGAATTCAGTTACTTCAACATTCCCAAAAGACAAGCAAATAATTATTTTTAGCCTATTTTTATGTGACATCCGAAAAGATGCAAAAAGTAATAATAGTAAGCAAGAAGTGATTTCTTCTGAAGTATGAGTTTTAGATAAAAATTAATACGTAAAAGTATATCTTTACTGGGGAGTGGGGGAGTCTAAATCTCACCTGATTTTTAAAAACTACCCTTAAAATAACTTGGTCAGCATAATGCATTGTCAGATCTATATGGGGTTTTCATTCCTCCCTTCCCAACCCCCAATATAGAGTTGAGACTTCTAAAATGGACAAACAGCTCTGTCCATTCTTGCTGTCAAATCAGACCGTTCAAAAACAGTGCCTGGGTTTGATTTTTCCTTTAAAAGAATGTGCTGTTAGTCAAACAACAAAAGAAAAACACTGGTGCACACATGGCCTGATCTTAACCAGGCAGATGACAGCGTGGCATCCTCTGTCAATCTTTCTAGAGACAGGCAGGCCTGGAACAGACTGTGCAGCTTCTGCCTGCACAGTTTATCAACTGGAAATTATTCCTGGTGACTATGGATTCCCCTAAGCCATTCTTACTACCCAATACATTAAGTATAATATAGTCATGAACATTAAAAACATCTTCTGTCAAGGAAGTTCTGTTATTCCTAATACCTTCAGATTTCTTCAAAAATAAAGAGAATTATGTGAATTGAGAATGAGTTAAAACTAGGGCTATGGTTCTTACTTTCTCATCTGATTAAACTACAATGAATCTAAATTCAGCTTAATACAACACCTAATACCAGATTAGGAACTCATTAGGGACAGGCTCTGGTTTTGATTTCCTTTTATTTCCTTTGATCACTGCATTAAATATTCCTTTTCTCCCAAAATAAGAATGACTTTATTTAGTCTTACTGGCTTACCAGCCAACATACAAACTCAATGTAGGGCCTACTATGAGGCAAAAGGGAGAGTTTGACCTCCAAATCCTCTAGTAACCATCAGTGTTTAAAACATTTTCTCTTGTCATCTGCTTCCCAGAAATAGTTTGGTATCTTTGAGTGATAACATTTCCCCTTCCTTTGATCTGATTCATAGTCAAGAAGAGAACCATTTAGAGACGTACTGTGATCACAGGTGAAAGGCTCACAGAATTTCAGTATGGGAAGAGCTTTCCAGACCCCTTATTTAGGAAATGGCAAATATATTTCATCATTCATGTCAACCCTTATTGCTCAATGATAACCCTGGAATAATGTATTGAGTGGCATTCTGGCCTGGACAGGAGCTCAGAGGGAATGTCTAACACAGGCTCTTTAAGGGAGGCCAGGCTCAAGAGAGAGCTGTGGCACTGAGCCATAACTTGCCATCCCTGAGTAAATACTATAGAGAGCTACATGGCTTGTGTTCCACTGTTTTTCCCACTAGACTTTTTATTTAAGCAGAAGTATCAATAATGAAAACCTAAAAATATTTGCAGCAGTAAATATTAAGGAAAATACATGGTCCATGAAAAGAACACCATCTGAGAGGCCTGTGTTGGCATATTCCCATGAAGGGACAAAGGTGGAATTTCTGGGTTCTTCCTCAACTGCACGGTGACAAATACTACACCTTAGTGCTCCACAGGTAAAAGGATGAAGAAAGAGACAGGTAGTTCTCCAGAAGTTACATGGCTTCTGTGATAGGACTGGGCTGGAAAGAGGGAAGGAAAGGAAACTGAGGCTTAAGAATCAAGCAAATTTCAGTGGTTCCAATGAGACAGAAAAGCATTAAGCAGAAAAGTCAATGTGATATTTGTTTTGAAAAGAAAAAAAATGGAAAAATCAGTTTCTTGAACTGGAACTAGCAAAACTCTTTTGACCAATTAATAAATAGTATTTACTTGCTTTCTGCTCTGTTCTTAACATTTGAAGGCTGAAGTGGATGGATGTAAGACAAAAGACATGCTTACTTTCACAGATTATCTGATTTCTCTCTCATCACTCTTCTCTTTATAGCAAGCTTGGGTGCCAGGGGCTAGGTCAGATCTCCGGGGAGGCAGAATTAAGCTCCCAATGTATTCTTGGTGTTGTCAACCAACTGGCTCCCAGGTGAGAAGAACATTTTTGGCAGTAAAAGCAGTACACAGCAGGCGAGAGACCTAAAGAAAAGGCAAGGGAGAAGAGGCAGGCACTTGGTTCTGGAGACAAATAAACACAATTAGCTGTGCTAGAAACAAAACTGAAAAGACTCAGTGGGGAGATTTTGATTCCTTCTGCCAAAAGAGCAAACCAAAGAAAAATTCATTTCAAAAAAAAGCTTTCTAGCTCCCTAGTAGCTGTCACCCAATGACAGTCACATTTTCTGCTGAGTCCTTTTTCACTGTGGATTATTTCTCCAACATTCTTTAAACAATGTAAAAATAATGGTTTGACTGCTTTGTCAGTTTTCCTGCCTAAATAGAATCCATTATTCTTTCAAGCTAGTCTTTTCATTCCTGGAGATGACCACTCAGGCTTTTCATAGTCATTCATTGCCTTTGTACCTAAGACCCAATTTGCAGCAATGGTGGGGTGGCTGAATTCATGGAAATCAATAGTCATGTCCCTGGGAGTTTGCTTATAGTCCCAGGATCCAGTTCTATAGTTTGAGGATTAGCTACAGCAGAAGGGATCCAGTGACGACCATAGGGCACAGGACAGGCTCTGGAGTTAGGCAGTTTGGGTGTGCATGTTGTCTCTGCCTCTTACAAGTCGGGTGACCTGGGCAAGTCATGGGTCTCATGGTCCTCATCTGTAAAAACAGAGATGAAAATGGTACCTCACCAATGGGATTGTTTTGAAGTGTAAGAAATTATAATAAGAGCCCTTATCTTTTAGAATCAGATTCTCAAATATTCACAAATACTATATCTGAGATTAGCTTCAAAATAACCTGGAGGTAAGGTATGCACAAAAGAAGTTGGCCATGGATTGATAATTACTGAAGTGGGAGGATGAGCACCTAGGGGCTTATTATACCATTCTGTCCACTTCTGTCTGTTTGAAAATTTCTATAGTGTGAGAGAGAAGAGAGAGAGCAAGAGAAAGACTACATATAGTAAAACTCTTAGCATACAACATGTGCTCAATAAATAGAATCTGTTATAGATCAGGAAGGGTTTTAAAGACATTGTTCCCAGGTCACACGGGCATCATGAGACTAGCCTGCCTCTCTAGAGACATGCATGGGTCACCAGCATGAGGCGGAAAGGTAAGATACACTGAGAACTTCACTGTCACTCAAGGCCATCCATGAGTGCCCAATCTTTCACCATCAAAAATAAGAATAAAAAGTTGTTATTAGTTCTCTATGCTTTGGAAGTTTACTAAATCAACCACATTCATTAAGTATTCATTAGCCCATTTTGGCAGGGGGGGGGGGGTGGTATTACAGAGTATTGAACTCAAGGGCACTTAACCACTGAGCCACATTCCCAGCCCTATTTTGTATTTTTTTTAGAGACAGGGTCTCACTGAGTTGCTTAACACCTTGCTTTTTTTGCTGAAGCTGGCTTTGAACTCGTGATCCTCCTGTCTCAGCCTCTTGAGCTGCTGGGATTACAGGTGTGCACCAACGTGCCAAGCTATCCCATATTTTTCACAGACACACACAATCACAAGTTAGCTGTAGGGTGGGTGACTCCAAACTGAGCTATCACCCCAGCCCGAAGAAAAACACTTCTTAATTTTCATGATCTGTTAGCAATTTGCCACACATACACATGGATTTGTAGGCATATGAAATAATGAAAAAAATAATTTTAATGAACCCACTCTAAACCCTAGGTTTATGCCTCCAGTGGGTTCGGGTATAGCAATTCAGAGTCAGCCCCAACTTCTGAAATTTCTTAGGGTAATGAGCTGGACAGATAGAACTAACCTCCTTCTAACTAATCCCAGGCTAGATATTAAAGGAGCCCTTTATTAAATCAGGATTCCCAAATTCTATTCCATGGCCCCTCACAAACAAGGAATTTGCCATTCCAGCTCTGACATTAACTCTCATAGTCTTGGGTTGGCCACTTCATTTCTATTTTCTCATTTGCAAACTGGGATAATATCTCCCTCCCAAGGTTTTTGCAGGGATTAAAGATAAAGCAAGTAAAGTACATTGTATAATAACTGGAACATAGTAATTGCTCAAAACATAGTAATTATTCTATGTCTCTGGGAGTCTTTATGTATGGATATATTATTATGACTTTTGGGATTTGATTAGTATTTAGACCCCAAGGTTCTCCAGGTCATGAGATGGATCGCAGCCACATAATTAGAAACAGTTCAATATTTTCCTTCTATTTCATGTGACAAAATTTTGATGCAGGTGCACTGTCTTCTCCACAGAGCTGTGATATATGGATAACTATGTTGTAACATCAGTACATATATCCTATCCTATGTATGAATCACATAGCATAGGACATATAAATGTCTTGTGACATTATCTTTTAAACTGAAAGAAAACTATAAGAAGTAAAAAATAAAGAGAAAAGTATGATACAATTCAAGTCCAGCAAGACTATTGTTTTTATTATGAAATGCTTGTTGAATGTCACTCTCTATATATTGCTAAGCATGTCAATGGATGGGAGAAGTATGAATAATAAAGCTGGAAATCCCTTAGCAAAGACTTTAATGGTCTTTGGGTTCTCTACAAAGGGAAGTAAACCTTATATACTCTTCTTAAAATCTTGATGTCATCCATTACCTCTATTATACATTAAAATTCATCATAATTATCATTAATTTGTTCATTCCACAAATACTGCTCTGATGTGGTATTGAATTCTCCACACACAGGAAAGTAGGGATAGTCTAAGAATAGTCTAAGAATAGACTATTGAAGCTTATGGTACTTTCTCAGATCTGCAGAGAAGAAAATCTCCCTTCAACCATGGCTCAGTTCAACCTGATCATCTTACTCAGTTGACCTAATGCAGCAAGAAGACTCCCCACCTTTGAGGAAGGGACATTTTTTAAATTTACATGAGATCACATGAAGTCTAACTCATCCACTATAAGCTTCTGAGCAGGTAATTAACTGATGCCCTCCAACTTACATAGGGCTTGAGATTTGCTTTGCCCTGGTGGTGTTAGTCCTGCATACAAGCATTAAAAAGTCATGATAATTACTTTCTCCACCCATTTTTTGAAGCAAAGTATCATCTTTAAAACCCACCTCCAAACTGTAACCTCCATACAGCAGGGATTATACTTTTGCTTATCATTTCTTCTCCGTGTTTAGCACAGACCCTTGCACCTGCTGGCTTCAGTATTTGATAAATAAATGAATGAAAAGGTATCCTCTGGTTCCGAGACCACAGGCAAGTCTACCAAGATATCATTCCACAAGGGTTAGTGTTCAGGTTTCTCTTCAGCTAGGTCTACCCAAGTCACAGCATGAATTTCAATGATTCACAGCATTAGGTATCACAAACAGCATGGACAAGTGCCACAAAATAGGTCTGAGTAACAGAGGGGTTCTCTCTCTCAATCACTGGAGGGTAGAAGACTCCAGACACACAAGGAAAGCTGAATGAAAGCTTCAGGTAGTAGGGCCATTTTGTTCCTCCTTAAGAACCAAGGAGTCTTGGGGCTGAGGATATGGCTCAGCGGTAGAGCGCTCACCTCACATGTTCAAGTCCCTGGGTTCAATCCTCAGTACCAAATATAAATAAATAAAATAAAGTTATTGTGTCCAACTACGACTACAAAAAATAAATATTTAAAAAAAAAAAGAAACAAGGAGTCTTTTGTTTTATTGTACTAGAGATTGAACCCCCAGGTACTTTACCCCAGAGCTACCTCCCAAGCCCATTTATTATTATTATTATTATTATTATTATTATTATTATTATTATTTAATAATAGTGAGACAGGGTCTCACTAAGTTGTTTAGGGCCTCACTAAGTTGCTGAGACAGATCTTAAACTCGCAATCCTCCTGCCTCAACCTCCCTGGGACAAGTGTATACCATTGTGTCTGATAAGACAAGGAATCTTAAATCTAGAGAAATGCCAACATGCTAGTACTAAAGCAATTGAGAATTTTATTTGAGTAAAGTCTACTCTACGCTTTGGGTAAGTCACAACTCTCTGCATATCAGTTTCCTCATCTGTGAGATGGGACTAATAATATATGTATTTCACAGGGTTGTTCTGAGAATTAAATAAAGTAATATAAATACATTTCCTGACACTGATAAATGCTTAGTTAATAGTAATTATTTTGTAATGCTGAAGCCAGACTCATATTCTACTTGTAGCTCCATTCTTTCTCATAGAATCTGCTAAATCAGAAGAGGCGGAAAGATATGAAGGACAGAGCCCTGTAGCAGTTATCAGAAGCCCTGGGTTCAAGTTCCTGTTTTTTCCATTTTCTTTTAAATAATTTTTATAGTTGCCAATGGACCTTTATTTTATTTATTTATATGAGGCGCTAAGAATCGAACCCAGTGCCTCATGCATGCTAGGCAAGCACTCTACCACTGGGCCACAACCCCAGCCCCTGTTTTTGCCATTTTCTCTTATGACTTTGACAAATTTCTTACCCTTTCCAACTTCAAGCTGTAAATTCATCATCTGCAAAAAAATAAAAATAAAAATAAATATGATGGTATCTGCTCTTGATGTCTCATAGGATGGTAGCAAAGATATAATTGACAAGATATATGAAAACACTTTGAAAACTGTCCTGCAGATAAACACACAGATGTACTGAACAAGGTAAATTTATCAATATTAATTAAACACTGCTAAAACTCTAAAACAATGTTTTTTTTAAAACTTTTTTACACTATACCTCATCAAAAGCAAGCCAGCCTACACCCATCACTAAAGCAAAAGCTTAACAAAACAATGCTTTATTTTGACATTTTAAATTATATTCTCTTTTCTCTCCTTTTAAAATGCTGGTCCTTAATTTCAGAAGGCAGTGGTTTTTGTCCTTCAACTTTCAATGGGCATCAGAATCATTTGAGAAGCATTTAAAAAATCTGATGCCCAGGCCCTACCCACTGAGACTGAATCAGTGGTTTGAGGTGGAGTTGGGGCAGCCCCAGGTTATCTTATTATACAGCTCTAATGGTTTCTAGCTCACGGCCAAATAACCACTGTTATTTAGTCTCAGTCTGCTAAACACTCTGTGGCTTGGAATTTGCCTCACCTCCACCCCCATCTCTGTCCTGAAGATCAGCATGTTACTGTGAATTGATTACTCACTCATATGGCTCCAGGGTGGTGAGGAAAAACAGAAAGAAATGGAGATTAAAGTGGAATCTTTCCCCTCTCAGATGGCAGGATAATGTCAAGCAAAACAAAAACAAACGTGGATTGGAATATTTTGTTAAAAGTAAGGAGATCCCCTGCAAGAATTCTGTGCTCAATACAAGGGGCCAAAGAAAAACTGAGAGAAACTGCCAGTCCTCCTTGCCTGCTCACACAGCAGAGGAAGCTCAGACCAAGAGTAGACAGGGATCTGAGAAGAGCCTTCTGTAGTCTGGGAGATAAGCTCAGTGAGAAGGAGTTCCATAGCCTGGCTGTCTCCTTCTTCCAGGTGTAGCCCAGATGGAAACAGAAAACTTCATCCTCGGCTCATCTTTCCTCTACACAAGACAAGTCTGAAGAACTGTCCTGTTCATTTGGTTGGTGTGACCTGCAGACTATATCTAGCTGTTGGTAGAACCTGGGCCAGAATGCAGAAGGAACAAGAAGTATATTCCTCTGCCCTACCTTTGGACACATGGATGGATCAAGAAACTTGGCTTCTTTCTGTACATAATAGGTTAAAAAAAAAACAAAAAACAAAGCTATGTCTGTTTGAAGCACAATCCCTAGGTCTTAACCCAGATCTACAAACCAGTCATAATACTAAGAGTAACCATTTAATAAGGACCTCCAATGTGTTCAGCACTTCATAAACACTACCATTTAATTTCACAATATCTCTGCAGTTGTGCATGTTATAGATGTTCAGGTTGAATAATTCATCTAGATAGTACAGTCAATACCTGGGTGCCAGGGTGCTAGCACAGGTTAATCCTCACCACAAATCCCAGGTTCTAGGCCAGGGTTTCTCCATACCACTGACCAGAGTGTTCTTTATTGTTAGGGGCTGTCCTGTGCTTTCTAGGACGCCTAGCAGCATATCTGGCCTCCACCCATTAGATGCCAGTAACATCCTTCCCTACTCCAGTTACAACAACAAAAAATGTCTCCAGACATTACTAGAAATCTCCAGGGGGTGGGCAAGATCAACCTCTCTCTTCATGAAGAACCACTGTGGTGGGATAAACAACCCTGTATATTATGTTCCATACTTGACAAGTACATAAGTCATCATTAAGAAGAGAAAGCAAGAACCACACACAACCCTCCAGGAAAGTATTGCTAGAGTTACAATTCAGTAAGTACTTTCATAGATATCACTTCCTTTCATAGCATCTAGATACACAGAGATCTCATCCTAAAAGAGTTAATCAACCTCAAAAATATTAACACTCTCAGGGCTGGGGTTGTGGCTCAGCGGTAAAGCATTCATCTAGCACGTGTGAGGCCCTGGGTTTGATCCTCAGCATCACATAAAAATAAACAAACAAAATAAAGGTATTGTGTACAACTAAAAAATAAATATTTTTTAAAAATATGAACACTCTTGAGAGATCTACCTGTTTAGACTTCTCCAGGAAATTGAAAGAAAAGAACTTACAGTGAAATCCATAGTAATGCTTAGTCCTATAAGCCATTAGGAGAAAAATCTTTGGCTAACAATGTACAGTCATGAGAGAGCACATTATGTGAACTTCTGGAGGTCAAAGCCTGTGTCTTGTGTCTCTCTCCAACTCTAGCACTTGCTAAAACCCAGGGAACTCTCATAAAAGGTTGAGTATTTCATGAAACACAACCTATTTCATAGCAATCCCTTAACATCTGATTAAAATTAGCATAAAATTATTTTTCATCTTGCTAACATATCTATATATTAAGTAAAATACATAAATTTGAAAAAATTCACACCAAGATTTACAAAAGAGCTGAGAATTTAGTGCCAAGCCATTCTTCCATGTCCTTTAAAAAAACAAAGCATAACAAATTCATGTTTTAACTAAAGGGATGTTTACTGGAATCATCCTTTTCAATACATGGCAAGAGAATGATAACTATTTCAATAGAAAAATATTTTCATTGGATCAGGGAAAAAATTATAGTAGAGGCTTTAAAACTCCTTTTTCCTTCAGATTTTAACTACCACACCAAACTGTAATGCACAGTCCTAACTGGTATATTCATTTTTAAAACATCAGGATTCAAAATAAAGTAACTAACTGGTAGTTTTTAAGGTTATCCTTTAAATACTCCTAAGATGATAAGAGGGTAAAAACAAAATATTCTCATGTACATGTTCAGTTGTTACAACTCAGATAAAAGGAAAATCATTACTTGAAAAATTATAAGTTTTCACATGGATTCAAAGAAATATTATATAAAGCTACCAATAAATAATTTTAATAATAAAAATAGACCCTCTATGCATTCATTATATGTCAGGCCCCAAGCTAGGTATTCTACATGTATAAATCTTATTTAATCTTTATCACAACCCCATGAGACACATAACTATTAGTAACTTCTTTTTAAGGTAAGAAAACTGAGGCTGAAAGAAGTGAAACAACTTGTCCAAGACCACAGCTAGATCAGATTTGAGCCATGGCTGCCTGAAAATTTATGACATATAATCTAAAAAAAAAGGGGGGGGTAGAATTTATGGAAATAGAAGAAAAGCTGCATGTTCTGTTAATTTCTCATGTTGCATGGCCTAGAATCCTAAAGTTGAAAGGAATTTAAAGAAATCATTCTCTTCCACTTGCTTCTGTAAAATTCTTTCATATGAAGACTCAATCACAAGGCATTACTTGGAATAAGTGGCTTTCTGAGTATCTTTTTTTATGTGTGAGAAAACAAGTCTCTTATTTGTTTTGCTTTCTGAAAATATGCAGTAAGGGAAACTGCCTAGCAAAGAATATCAAGAAGGGGAAAAGAAAGGTTTATTTCCTCTAGCCCAATATGCCATAAAGTATAACAATAAAGTATAACAGGTTTTATTCTCACACATACTAGAGCATAAATACCCAAGTGAGGATTGTACTTTGGAGTAATTATTTTTCCCATTTTGAAAACATATATCTTTTAGAATTACCAGCCCTTCGTGAGAATTTTCATTATTTTAATGGGCACACTTTATGTTATAACCTCAATTCTCTACCCCAGAAGCCCAAGTTGGCCCCACTAGGTGTTTGGCTCCTTCCCAACAGAAGAAGATTGACCATCACTGAGGCAATTTGGTAAATGTGCTGCAAACTCAGAAGGCAACTACAAAGCAGGAGCTCCAAAATTATTCCCAGCAATGACAGCATCACTAAGATTAGTACGTGGTTTGCCAAGAGGAGACATCTGAAAGGGAGAAATACTCATCTGAATGTATAAATACTGGCATATTTATTTTAACATTTAGATAAAGAATTGGAAGCATCAGCCAGCTTTATGCCCAAGTGAATAAATATGCTGCTGCAATGATAATGCAGATTTTTGGTGCAAGATTCTGACCACTTAATTACACATATACCTCCTTAATGAAACAAAACTTGTCTTAAAATGATACTTGCAAAATGAATACTTCCCTTTCCCTTTAACTTGCATAATTACTGAGGAGATTTCCTTTTTATGAAGAAGCTGGGGAGATCAGAACCAGCAACAAATGCTAGTGGCCAAAACACTCCTCCTAGAAAGTTCATCAATCTCAGTGTGTGTCAGAAGATGGACCTATACACTTAGCACAGAAGGAAGAAAGGAGGGAACACCTTTTCTCTGTCCCAAACCTAGGTATCTTGCAATGAATAAATCCACTTAATAGGATTCACAGACCCTGGGTCTTCCTGAGTAGCTGTTAGAGCAAATAAACTAATTACAATACATAATCAGCAATATACGATATATTAATAAAAGGTAGTCAAACATTATTTAAATAATTGAAGGGAGTTGTGCACCCAAGACAACAGAAAATAAAAAAATAAACTATCAGATCAAGCTCTGCCATCTGATCGTTTTTATATACACACTTGGTTACCCCATCCCATTAAGTGCTAAAGCCAAGCAGTCTGGCTCCGTTTCAGTTGACTTGGCCGAGGGTATAGCGGCTCAGGGATGGGTACAGGCTGTGGCTGATCTTAACAGGGCAGTCAAGGGCAGTCGACCTTCCATACAGGCAACTTCCTATTAATTGCAGTAAAGAGAAGCTTCACTGACACAAACAATCCCAAACTACAATACTCCTCGTGTTTACTGGGCTGTGGAATGTAGTGCATTTGTGGGCTGGTGTGTGTGTGTGTGTGTGTGTTGTCGGTCTCCTCCAGTTTTTACTCCAAAACAGCCTCTGAGGAAGCAGGGGAGCAAGTAGTGTGTGTATCTAAAAATTACACACACCTTTATTATATGAATTACGCCTAAGGTACACATACTATAGATATTATCTGTTTATTTGAAATCTCACTCTGTAACTATTATTTCTAGCACAGACTCTTTTGATCGGGTCCCTGGACTAAATAATTTTTAAGCCAGGTCAGAAATATAGGGTGCAATTTAGAGCAAGATAAACAGCCCAATCTGGACCGCAGGTCTCCTTGGCCTTCCTCCTGTCCATCAGTACCAGGAGCGCAAGCAGCTACACAGCAAGCTGTGATGCTCTGGCCGGCTCCAGGTCCTCACACCAGGGCGCCCACAGGTAACTCCCAGTAGGTTCCTAATACTCCCGGAGGTCTGGGAGCGTTGGGTCCCTACTCTTCTCTCTCGGAGTTACCCATTCTTCCTCTCTCCAGCAGATGCCCTCTCGAGGTGTCAACGACCTGGTTCCAGGAGAGGACTGCTTTCTCATGGCTGACAGGTTCCCTGTGTCCCAGCACCACTAGCCACTTCCGACACCCAGCCGCGGCATTCTCCACCCTCCAACCCCACCCACCACCCCGCCCATAAACCAGCAGCCCCCAATTCTCAACACAGCTCCGATCTTTGCACCCATCACTTCCGTCTTCTCGGAGAAGAACCCCCATATTTCCAGCAAGAAGCTACACGCACCGCCCAACCCGGCTCTTTCCAGGGCTCCCTCCCTCGAGTGCCCCCTCCCACCCCGTTCTTCTTCTCCGGGCACTCCCCTCTCTGGTTCAGTTCCCCTCAGTCCTGCGGAGGGCGCCCCAAGAATGCCGGCAGGGCGCCCCTCGTTCCGCCCTCCCAATCTTCCGCGTGTCGCGATCCTGACACCTACCCCATCCCCAGTTCTCAGGACTCCAGCTACGATGCTCCCAAATATCACAGACAACCCCCCCACCCCAGCCTTTCCGAGCTCCGGGTTCCCCAACACCACAGTCTTGCCCCGTGTTCTGCCTTCCAGGTTCGGTTAGTGAAACTCTCCAACACCTGCGTCCTAACCCTCGCCCCGGTTTCGGGTTCCCCAACATTGCGGTTCTGGACCCCCCTTCAGCCTCTAGTCCTGTAGCTCCCCAATGGCGCGATCCTGCCGTCCCCGCCTCCTGAACTCAGGCCCGAGGCTCTTCAGCATCCCGGTCCTGATCCCCAGCCCTGCCCGCTCTTCGCCATGCGCGGTGGGACTCACCCGCAGGGGCGGCGGCCGAGCGGGTGCGCGCAGCCCGGCCGTGTCCAGCCTGCACTCCCAGCTCAGCTCCCTGTTACCAGCCTCCTGCAGGCGACTGACTGCAGAGGACTCTGCACGGGGGAGCGGCCGGGAGGAGAAGATCTGCGAGCGCTGGCTCCGCCCCTTCTCGGCCCCGGGGCGGGATGCGCAGCCCAGCGCAGCCCCAGCGCACACCCGACTGCAGCCGCCACTGCTGCCAAGGAAGTTGACTGACGCTGCTTCCTTCCACTGGGGGCTCAGACTCTTGTAACCACCTTTGCAAGGGAAAAAGAAAAAAAAAAAAAAAAAAACCAACAACAACAATCCGTGGGTTGAGGATAGGACCAGCCAACCGCACTTAAGATTCTTTCCAGGAACCCATCCCAGGGGGAAACAACAAACTTAAGCTGCCATTTCAAGACTGATTTAAATCCTGGCCTTCATTCTTTCACTGCCCTTTTGTGAGCATTGAGGGTCATGCCCATGAAATAAATCATGCTGTAACACATCACGAAGGCCTTTGCAAACACACCCGTGCAAGGCTCATCACAGAAACCCACATCTTACACCATCAGGCCAAGAAACCCACTACTACCAACCCATCTTCCATATAGAGAACTCCATTAGGTCCTGGCACCAGTGACCCGACTTGCCCCTCACCCACAATGCTCTATTTTCCCATGAGAAAAATACAGTTAAGTAGTAGGACCATCAGTTAACCAATCGAATCGGTTTTGCTGTTACAGAGCAGTCTGTATTTTTTGAAGAAAAGAAACTGATCCAATCCTGCGGAGATGGGCTGTATTAATGTTACTATAGGGGTTCCACCCACCTCATCTCACTATTCTGCGACAGGCTTAATTTTGGTCTGTTGATTCCTAGAACTTTTCCCTTATACTACCTTGTTTTAGTGACACGTCTAACATTTCACATTTTTATAATGTTTTTCCTGTTCAAAACATTTTTAAAGTCATTATTTGATTTACCCTCAGCAAAACATCATGAAACAAAGAAAGCAAATTATCTAACAGGACTATTTGAATTCCATAAATGAAGACATTTTAGACTGAGCAGTTACTTGGCAGTCAGAATCAGGAAAATTGTCAGGGAACTTCTTCCATATCCTCAAAAATATGGGCCTTTAACCTTAGTTGGCATTCATTTGTTTTTAAGCCAAGATTACAATTGTACAACAGAGTTGATGAAGAGAAGGTGAAAACTCCCTCCTCTGCCACTCTGAGCCTCTCAAGAAACAAGCTGGGAAATCAGAAGTCCTATTCACAGTCTCAATCCAACTACAATGATCTATCCAGTAAGAACAGAGGAGCTGTGAAACTCATTGTTGATGTTCTTGCATGTTTTTTTTTTCCAGAGTTCCTCTATCTGGAGTATGAAGTTTTAATAGGAGACTAACAAGTCCTCTAATCCCTTTTCAACTGTTCTTTTCACTTTTTTTCAAAGGGCAGGTGTAAGCCTACATGTAAAGTGTAATGGATGTCAGGCATTATTATCTATGTGAGAGAAAGTTCTGTTTACCAAGTAAAGCTATCTAGAGCCTCTAAATTAAGAATAGTAGTTTCTCCTAGAGCTTGGTGTCACACACCTGAAATCCCAACTTCACCAGAAACTGAGGCAGTAGGATTGCAAGTTTGAGGCCAGCCTGGGCAGCATAGTAAGATCCTGTCTCGAAATTAAAAAAAAAAATGAAAAGGGCTAGGGATGTAGCTCAGTGTGGGAGACCCTGGGTGGGGGTGGGGGACAGGGATAAAACAAAACAAAAAAAGAGGCGCTTTATGCCTGTTAAAATTACTTGGTTTCCTAATCCCAGTGACTCAGGAAGCTGAGACGGGAGGATCACAAGTTCCAGGACAGCCTCAGCAATTTAGCGAGTCCAAAAGCAACCTAGTGGGAACCAGTCTCAAAAGAAAAAAAAAAAGGAGTGGTGATGTGTCTCAGTGGTAAAGTACCCCTGGGTTCCATCTACAGTGCCAAAAACAAAAAAACCCTACTTGATTTCCATGCAAGCCCCTTCCATTTTCCACTGTAAGGTGATAACCTACTTCACTTTAGGCAGAAAGTAATATTTTGGTAACTCTGGAAAAAGAGTTCTAGAGTGACCTTTCTATTTTTGAATAATAATTAAAGCCTATTAATCCTTCATAAAAAAAAACAATCAGGATGCTCTTTGGTCTATGGAAGGAAATGCACTGCCAAACCTCCCTCCATGTAACTTTCCAATTGTGAAATAAAATTTGACCTGAGATTTTTCTAAAAGCTGGAAACAGGCAAAAAAATCTTGGATATTGCAGTATGTTCTCAATAAGAAGGCTGACCAGTCACCACTTCCCTTTCAGATTGCCCTTGAAAGCCACAGACATGGGCAACATGCAAAATGATTTTTAAAAAGATACGCAAGATTAAAGAGTTATTTTGTCCTATCTCTAACAAAATAATTTGGTCTATTTTTTGTTGTATACATACTAGACTGACACTGTTTTTTTAATAATACTTTTACTTTGTGTTTACATGGCATCCCTTTCCAAGGAGCTTCAAGTGCATGTAATGGCATCTTGTTACTAAATTTCATACATTCATGTGAAATACAAAGGGATGGGAACATGAGGAATTGGAAGTGTGGCTGAGATAAAACCATTTGCCTGGAATATCCTGGTCTATATTGGTTTCTACTGGTCGATCCTAAATGAAGACCTATAATAAGACCTACTCATGGAAACTTATACAATATATAGAATTGTTTAAAAGCTCTAGTTATTATTGTTTTCCTTTTTACATCTTTTTTATTTGTTCTAATTAGTTATACATGATAGTAGCACAATGCATTTTGATTCATTATACACAAATAGAACATACCTTTTAATTTCTCTGGTTGTAAACAATGTAGAGTCACACCACAGGTGCAGTCATACATTCCACCATCGTTCCTGCTCCCATGTCCCCTCACCTTCTCTCCCTCCCCTTTGCCCAATCAAAGTTCTTCTCCCCATACCCCTCCCCCGTTATGATCAGCATCCACTTATCAGAGAACATTCGGCCTTTGCTTTTTTGGGATTGTTTTTCTTTGCTTAGCATGATATTCTCCAATTCCATCCATTTACCTGCAAATGCCATAATTTTATTCTCTTTTAACGCTGAGTAATGTTTCATTTCTTCATTCATTTTCTGGTGAAGGGCATCTAGGTTGGTTCCACAGTTTAGCTACTGTGAATTGAACTGCTATGAACATTGATGTGGCTGTATCACTATAGTATGCTGATTTTAAGTCTTTTGGGTATAGACTGAGGAGTGGAATAGTTGGGTCAAATGGTGGTTCCATACTGCTTTCCATAGGGGTTGCACCAATTTACGGTGCCACCAGCAATATGTGAGTGTACATTTTTCTCCACACCCTTGCCAACACTTATTATTGCTTATATTCTTGATAATTGCCATTCTAACTGGAGTGAGATGAAATCTTAGAGTAGTTTTGATTTGCATGTCTCTAATTACTAGAAAAGTTGAACATTTTTTCATATATTTGTCAATCGAATGTATATCTTCTTCTGAGAAATGTCTGTTCAGTTTCTTAGATCTTCATCATGTTGGATTACATTCTGACTTCCTTAACCACATTCCTAGAGTGCAAGAAATAAAATCAAGAATCAATAAATGGGATGGATTCAAACTAAAAAGCTTCTTATCTGCAAAGGAAACAATCAAGAACGTAAAGAGAGTGCCCACGGAGTGGTAGAATATCTTTACTACACGCACATCAGATAGAGAGAGCTCTAATCTCCAGCATATATAAAGAACTCAAAAAATTTAACACCCCCCCAAAAAAAAGAAAGAAAAGATAACCCAATCAATAAATGGGCTAAGGAACTGAACAGACATTTCTCAAAAAGAAATAGAATTGATCAACAAATATATGAAAAAAATGTTCATCATCTCTAGTAATTAGAGAAATGCAAATCAAAACTACTCCTTTTTACATCTTATGGAAAGACTACCATGGCAAAGAAAAGGAGAGCACTTTGGATACTGGTTAAAAGTGTGAACTTGGAAGTTAGCTCAGCCTGAGTTTGAGATCCAGAACTACTGTTAGAACCTTCAGTGAATAATTGAACCTTTTTGCATTTCAGGATTTGTAGCTGTAGCTATAAGCATCATTCTACTCACTGCATCTAGTTACGGGCTCAGATTAAATGAAATGACCCCTGTTATGCACTCAGCATTGTGCCTATCACATGATATGGTGATAAGTGTGGGTAAAAAGGCAATTCCTTGATTCAAGTGTTATTTATGAGATCTTTGTTTCAATACTTTCTACTTGAAGAAAATATATACTACTTAAGGAAACTACTTGGGAGGAATTTGGAGAAACCTGAACATCTATACTTCTGAATCCTGAAATCAAATCTAGGATTCCTTGACATTCCATCATGAAAGAAGCCTCCGTCCTGGTTTTCCTATTGAGACTCCCTGCCAGCAGCCAACTGGGGAAAGCAGCTATCTTTCACATACAGGATGCTGAAGAACTATGGTTCAATCAGTTTTAAAATAAATAAGAATAATAGTTTCCTTGTACCGTGTGGCTATTTTATCTAATTTAGTGGTAAAATGGTTGGAGCTCCCTAAAGCTAATTTGATTTTCTTCTACAGTTTTTCACTCTTTTTTTTTCCTTTTCACGTCTAAATAACAATTATGAGAGCAAGTCAATTGACTACTATAAACAAAAGAGAAGATGGAGAAATTGTTCCTGGGCCCTCAGTAAACTTGCACACATTTAAAATTATGATGCCTTGCATCTGATCTCCCACTCTCTGCTGTAACTAGTTTGTGATTGAAGAATTTCAGATGCCAAACTATAGGAATGAATGATAAAATGACCAATCAGGAACTTTTTATATTATTAACAAAATAATGTGAATTCCTAAATTGCAACAACATTTAATGTGTGTGTTAATTCTCACACTGGCTCCTAAACAAAAATTTAGGAAATACAGTACATAATTGTGTCACAGTTTTAATGGCAAAAATATGGATATGAAAATAAGACCTTTCCTTATTCTTCAGTGGGCATTTGTAACTAAAAAGCCTCATGATGAATGGCTGTGACTCCCCCT